CAAAGAGGCTTGTAGGTCTGTCCGGGTGGAATTTTGTAATTGATTTTAAGGATAGTTGGAAACCTCTTTATCTCTCTATACTGACAATGTTAAATTGGCTCTTTTCGATGTACCTTTTCTCAAAATCTGTTTTATGTACATGCTTGAAATTTTTCATACTATTAAAGTACACCTCTCTCATTATACTAAAATGAGCTTTTAGCTAATTTTGAATTTTTTAATAAATAAATTATGAAATATTTTATCAAACATTGCGAAATTTGACCCATTTTTTACTTAAAAAATTTGTAAAAATTAAATTTTGAGTTTTTTTACAAAAAGCTCATTTTAGTATATATTAGACATCATTATAAATAATTCATAAAAAATTTACATACCTGTGAACAGTAGTTTCTCAGAAAAGGTACATCGCACATTAAAATTTACATTTTGAGATAAATTGATTTTAATGTATACAGTGAGACTTCTAATTGGCTAGGAAATAAAAAAAATAAAAGGCTCAATTTAAAATAAAAGATACATGTTTTGGTTTATATCAGTCGTTACACTTTTAAGCAAAAACAAAGTAATTTGTTTACAATTTCGCGCCATTAAAATGGGCGTGGCCCAAATTCAACGATTTTTTTAAAAATACGTTTTTAGAGCTTCTAAATACCCTAGAGGTTAAAGTAAGGTATTTTTAAAAAGGTTAAAATCTATACAATTTGAAAATGTAAAAATCTCAAATTGTCAAAAAAATAAGATTTTAGCTTTCCAACACCCCTTAAACTAATTTTCCGATCAGCTAGAAATCTGTACCACATAGCTCAAAAGTGGATGACAAAGCATGAAAATGTGAAAAAAGAAGAACAAAAAAAGGGAGGGGGAGAGAAAGATGAAGAAAACGAAAAAGACGAAAACAAAAATTATGCTTTTTAGTCTTGTAGTCCGTTATAAAAACATGGTACATTAAAAAAAAATTCGATAATATACTTGTTTGACGTTGCAGCACTGGACATGTAAAAAATTGCATACAATGACAAAAGTAAGCACTTGTCAGCTAGAGAGATTATGTGATAAAAATCTTCTGATTGAATCTCTTTTTAAAGGTTTTGACATAGATTCAGTAGCGTAACTTACAACCTCGCATTGTGGGGTGCAGAAAGCGTTAATGACGCCAAGTACGTATTAAAGTTTGGGGTCCAATAGCTGACTTTGTAGGAAACCCTAACATTCTCTAGGCAGTGGGATACGCCACTGTCTAGATTCCTTTCTTTTCAATCAACTACTTGCCTTACCATCCCTTTACTTAAATTAATACATCGATAGAATTAAACATTGTTAAATTACAGCTTTAATTTCTTCAAACGTGTTCTTGCACTAGAAATTTTCTATAAGATTTAATGTTTTCAGCAAATAAAAATTATTATATCGAAACTGTTATTTTTTACAATATCTGCTACTTGTTCTTATTGGAATAACATAATCAATTTTTAAAACCTAGCATAACTGTTTTTTAAAAAAATTAATAATCAAAAGACTGTTGAAAAGTTAGGCCACCAAAGTTTTCGTATACTTAAAAAAATCTTTCTCTCTCCCTCTCAATATGGTTTCAAACATTGTTGGTAAAATATCTTTTAGTGTCCACAACAACTTTTATTGACTTCTTAGTACAGATTCCATAATAATAATAATAATTATTATTATTATTTTAATTTCTGCATCTCGATATTTATATTCTTCTATGCTTAATGTTTTTAGTTTACAATTTGTTTTATGTGAATCATGTCTTCTTACTCTATCTTCAACTTCCGAAATGAGACATTACGTAACCTGTCTTATTGTTTTTCAGTGTTAAAAGAATCGTGGTTCATTTGTCTGTTATTTATTGTAAAATTTGATTTTTCTTTTCTGAATCATCAATCATGAATCCTTTTTCTGAATCATCATGATTAAGTCAATATAAAAAAAAACGTGTGTATTTTCAGATTTTTTTTCTCTCTTTTTTATAGATTAAGAGATAAGTTAAATTACATTTTTTATAAGTATATTCTTATTAGAAGTGTTATTGCTCATTGATTCATAAATTGTTACTCGCTCTAAAATATATCTAATAATTTCTTGCCGTATGTATGTAGTGCAGTTATAATGAGTGATACCCTACAGAATTGTTGAAAACTTTATTAACTTCATATTTTGTTTTACTGTCATGCATTTTACCCAAATAGTCATCATGAGCAAAGTGAAATTATGAATGACTACTAATATGCGAGTGATTATTTATTTACTCTTTTTTTTATCTATCCTAATATTGGAGCATTATAAAAAAAATAATGTATGTTCCCTCAGAAAATAATCATACAATCAGGAAAAAAAAATATTTTCTTTTTACCTATTTTAAACAATTAAATCTTATGATTTCAAATTTGTCTTTTCTTTTATGAATTAATCTTTTTTAATAGTAACTGTTCCAAGTTCCGTTATTTTGTTTTGTGATGCATACATAAATATTAAGCTTGTCATATCGAACTCAGTTACTAAGCACTTATTTTTGTAAAATGAAATTCTTTAAAAAAAAATGTAAAAATTATAAACGCATAGCAAATATGTATATTCAACTATAAAATGAAATACATTTTAAACAAGCACTCGATAATTCAACGGAAATTGTATAGAAATAGGTTGCATAGTAAATACACTTCGCTATAGGGAGGTTATTTTATGAAGAAGATCGTGAAATGTGCTCTTGGTTCCAGGAAAACGCTATGTAGAAAAATTCGCAATATAGAGGTTCGTCATATGGAGGTTCGACTGTATTTATATTTTTTTTTGATAAACAGTAGAAACTTTTCCCCGTTCTCATTATTTAGAACCATAAATATCTCCTTCCCTTACACATTTTCGTGAAAAAAATTGCAAAAAGTCATCACATTTTTTAATTTTATTATTAAATACAATGAAACGAAGCAAAACCAAATATGTAGGTTTTAAGTTGAGTTTTAATTTTTTACAGGCGTAAATGCAATTAGTTTTAATATTAGTTTACTATCCCGAGTTATCTCTGGCAAATGGAAAAAAAGTTAAATATTGGTCTTAATATCATTGATCTTGAAACAAGAGACAATACAAAGTGATACCTGACATTCTGTAAACTGGTATCTGGTCTCGTTTCTTACTGGCTTATTTCTGGAATCTCTATTACGGGAGCACAGTCACGGGAACACTGTCTTGTTGGATTTGATTTTTTTTTCAGATGCATGAATAAGATCGGGAAAATGCATTGAGGTTAACCTGAGTGGTGAAGGACTAATGCTGGGTGTTCCTGATGTGGCAGAAAACTCGTCATGATGATTTTCTGACATTAGTTTTTCAGTCAGTTTCATTCTAAATTGTTTAGGTGATCATGAACCTCCTGATTTACAGTATAAAATGAAGGAATTTCACAAGGCCAAATCCAATAAATGAAAGAAAATCTTAGTATTTACCTCTCTTTTTCTGGGTGTAGAATAAGGAGCTAAATGCTGGTCAACTTTATCTACACCACCCATTTGGTCATTGTAGTCAACTACACATTTAAGCCTGGACTTTGTCTCTCCCCGTTCATTTGTTACATACTGCATTTCGATTGTATGTATTGTGGAAATTAGACTAACATCCTTCTTATTTTTCCATGTCATTTACTTTCCCTCTATAATACACAATAATTTCTCTTTTTTAAAAGAATTTCTTTGTCTTTTGATCTCGAGATAAATCTTTTCTATTCAATCGAAATGTTCCACTCACATCAATCTTCCTTTTAACCAACGTATCAGCCAAACCGAGCGGGATGAAAATTGTCCAAACTGCCAACCAAAGCTGAACGTTTCCTTTCATTTCCTTCAGGCCGAGTAAAACCGTGATAAAACAAATCGTACTGACAAATTCTGCTTCACCCGAGTTTTCTCGGGATAATAATTAGCTGTACTATATACGAACCCAAGGTAACTCGGGATAATCAGGCAAGTGGTTAAAGTTCACTACATATTCACTATAATTTTTAAAGTAAATAAATATTTTACTAAGATATGCAATAAACAAATCGTGCTTCATAATGTCAGCTTTGCTCCTATTCCTAAATTCTCTAAATCCCAAAATTCACTAAGCTGTTTCGAAATATTGGATTAATTAACAATAACACTCATTGTTAAAAGTTCCTCCCGATCTGACCCAAATAATGTCTCTACTGCTACAAGATTTTTGTTTAGACGTGTAATTCTACCTGTAACTACTTGATAATAATAGTCCGCGCCAATAAGAATTGATATTTCTTAATCGTTTAATTCATAAGAATCAGCTAACTGTACATTTTTAAAGTATCTAAATTTTTTTTTATCAGGGGTTGGTAAATGTGTAATCGAAATATGTTCTGTCTCGACCACTTCTATTACAATGCACAAATTTGGATCTTCCTTGTTTCTCAATTTTATTTTAACTATGTTTAAGGTTATTATTTCAGTTTCCTTAGCACCAAATGTGCAAATGGGAAGGTTTACTTTTCTAAGAATTGGAAAGTTAAATTTCTCAGTAGTACTCTTTAAAACGAAACTGCTTTGTGAACCATTATCTAAGAATAATCTAACAACTTCTTATTCATTTTTGTCATCTATTAATTCAGCACATGTTTGTAATAATACACTATTTACTTCTGTTTTAAATACAGCTGAAACTATATTATTTGTGTCACTTTTTGGAGAGAAATTGTCACCATACCGATTTCGAAAACATATTGTGAAATTGTGGAAGCCATTACAAGTAAGACACACACATACAACTCTCTTTTCGCACTTTCCATTGCTCTGTGACTGGGCATGAAGTTCTAATAACATCCCTTTTTTCTTAAAAATTCTCTCTTTTCGTTAGCGCGTAAAAAATGGCAGGCCTCGAGTTCATGACCTTTGTTTTTTTTTTTTTGTTTGTTACTATTTATTCATTAATTAAACTTAATTATTCCTATAAAATAGTATTGCAAAAAGAAATTAGGCCATCCCAGGAGGGATTCGAACCCACGACCTTAGGATTGAGAGTCCAACGAGCTATTCATTGCTCAACAGGGACAAAACGAACGATTTTCCTTTCTATATATGCTGTTGGACTATTATTTTTGTTACTTTTTATTCATTTTTTAAATTTAATTAATGAATTAATATTTGAAAAAACCAAACAATGGTATTAACATCAAGTGTCATCTACTGCTAGTTTAAAAAGATGCATTTGAACTTGAATGGATGAATATAAAGTATATTATTAACGATTGAAAAAGAGTGAACTAGTAGTAGGAATTAAATAAGAAATAAACATAAAATATAAGCATTTCTGACGTCTTACGCGTCTTTTCTTTAACAAGTCCTTTGGGTTCTTTGGGACACAATTAATGGCAACTCTTTTCCAACCAAATCCAAGAAACGAGATGTGAAGAAGAGATGCAAATAAAGGGACTTTAAATATAGGGTCTTAGAGTAAGCGGTATGGCAATGTAAAGGAATGTTAGACAATTGATGTGCGTTGTGGTAGTTGATGATTATTGCAGTTCGTAATTCAAGATTAATTAAGTTCTACGTGTCGTGGATAAACAATATTGGTATTCGACTAGAAGTTAGCCGTAAAGATGCATCCCATTGCAGATAAAGACAAGCAGTATTACGGAATAGTATAAGGTAGGATTAATTATTTAGTATTAGAAACGAGGATTAGGCGGTTCGCTTATTGAGATTGGTCTGAAGTAGATTAGATCATGTTATAATATATATATATATATATATATATATATATATATATATATATTGAGTGTTGCGTATTGAGTCATCGTAGATTCTCTCATATTAATTATTATAATTATATTTGTTAAAGGTTTAAGTTGAATATCTTAATAATGTCATATTAAGATAATGTTTGATCCGAGTTCTTTTCGCTAATCCTACACCTCTAGCTCACGCTGATACTTCGAGAGATGTACTTCCAAGGGGAGGTACATCACAATGGCGCCCAACTAGGTTTAATCTATATGACCCCGAGATGAGAAACGCGAGAGGATTTAATGTTTGGCCAAAAGTGTACTTTTCTGGGTCGGAGAACGTCACCGAATTTTTAAAGGGTATAGACAACCAAATTAAATTACTTGAAATACCCAGTGACTTATCGTGTGCTTATTTGAAAGGTCATCTCCTGGGTAGAGCCCTGGATTGGTACCAAATATTCGGATAAGAGTTAGTGCAAAATACCGCCACGGACTTCGCACAGCTGAAAGCAGCATTGTCGAAAGCTTTTCCTGCCATCCAAAATAAAAAAGGAGTTAGAAACACGTTTTTACACGTCTCAGCAAAGACAGAACCAGGAGCCGACAGATTTTGTTTACGATTTACTGAAAGTGCTCAAAAACTTCAACTGGGGATGTCTGAGAAAACCCTTGTAGATCATATTTTTGTTAGACTTGAGCCGCAAGTCCAGGACTATGTGGAAGTGCGTAATCCACAAACCGCGATCCAATTATTAGAAGTATTAGCTAAGTTTGAGGAAAGATATTCGTGCAAGGCAACATTGGGTTCGAAAAATAGTAATAACAGGGAAGGACGAGGTTGGAATGAGCGTAGGATGTCTAATGTTGGTAATAATCGAGGAAATTGAAGAAATTCTGAAGGGGTGCGTAGACCGAATAATGGTAAAAATGATTAGAGGGGTAACTATCAGAACAATCGTCAAGGAAATCAGTGGTTCGATAGCAGGAATAGGTTTCAAAACGATGATCGCAGATTTAACGATAGGGGATATCAATTTAAAAATCGAGGTCAAAATGACGATTTTAGTAGAGGGGGCCAAAGAAATAGGGGTTCGAGTGAAAATTTTAGTCGAGGCAGTAGAAAACAAATGGGACGATTAAATGTTTTGAAAGTGAGTGATATTAAAGGTGATTAGACGCAGTAGATAAATCAGTCACCGATTAAACTTTCAGCAATATGTATGTCTCCGGTAGAATTTCCGTATGTTCCTATTTTATTAGGCGAAACTTTTACGAAAGCGTTATGGGACAATGGAGCGCAGAAGTCATTTATATCGGAAGAGACATACCAAAAATATTTTTTTTTATAAACAAGTAAAGAAATCGAGTACTCAGGTAATGACGGTACAGGGAGCTAAATGTCGAAACATGAGAGTAGTGGAATTAAATATTCGAATACGGGATTTCGAAAAGCCTTGGTTGTTCCATGTGTTAGCAGATTTGGAATACCCATGTATTCTCGGAATAGACTTCATAGGTGGATCAAAGATTATTTTAGACTTTGATCGAAAATCTTTCGCGATTCGCAGATTAATAAGGTTTTTAAAACCAGTGTTTCTCAAACTGTGGGGCACGCCCCCCTGGGGGGGTGCGGTATTCTTGCAAGGAGGGCGCGAGCATATTGAAAATAAAAGGTTTAAAAAAATAATTTTTTGGAATGAAAAAAAAAAATGCTTTCTGGCTTAATAAAAAATGACCATTTACACTGATATAATTTATATATATTATCTGGTGATCATCAAAAATAAAACATTCCACTTCAAACGTTCATTAGCTATCTTTGATCCTATAACCAAATAAAAAAAGACATTTTGTTTGTTTTACTGTAACCACACGATGAGAGATTTTTTTATTACGTTTCTTTTAACCCCCTAAAATACTACTTTTGACTATCATATATTTGACCTTCAAACTTACTGGTGTGTTTCACTCCATCTGTTTTTATTTTAGGAAAGTTGTAAATAATATTTTTCTGTTGCTTTTTTTTCCTTGTGAATGAGTTATATGATACATGGATAAGAATATTGAGTACTTTGAGGGATTATTTGGCCAACATATAATGCATAACGGAAAACTTTTTACGCTATTCTTTTTTAGAACTAATATCCATATGTTTTATTGAATACACTTTTAACACGGGATCCTTCGCGCGATGCGCGGAGTCATCTGATGTTCACGAAATCGTTAATTCTAGGAAAACTGTTTATTTGTTACGAATGACCTTGACAGAGTATTCTCCAATAAGACAGTCTTAATGGGAACTAAAATGAATTTATGACATTTCGCCCTCTTTTTGGGGGGAGTTGCAAACGTTTTTTTCACAATCAAGTTACTAGATTTGATCGAGTTCCCTGCGCGACCACTTTTGTTCAAAAATATTTTTTATGAACATGCTTTATGTCCTTTATTAAGAACACGCAGATTTGGAGCATTTTCTCATTAGTTGGATTTTTTCTCAAAAAATTAAAGAAAAATTGAAAAGTCCTTGAAAGTAGGTAAGTATTTTTCTCTTAATTAAATTATTCGCTGGAATTGTTATTTTTATCCTGTACAGTACAAATAATTATAAAATAAATTATAGTTTAAAAACAAACTAAAAAAACACGCTTTTATAGTGAATCGGACTAAAAAGTAAACAAAATAAATATTACTTAAAAGTAACATATACAAAATTTCATACTTATCTTGTTAATTTGTACCATTTATAATTATGATCGTATTGTAGTTTTAGCACACCCCCCCCAAGTGCATTATTGTTGCATTCGATACATAAGTATTTGGGGGGTGTAAGATTCGGCCAGAAGTTTTAACATTCTTTATAGGTGGCGCGGCCATCGAGAAGAGGGAGACTGAGAGCTGAACAGAGGAGAGGAGAAGAGAGAATGGTGGGCGCGAGGAGAAAAAACAAAATGGTGTTAACTTAAAATTAAATGTAGATAGTGTGTTAGTTTCGTTAATATGTATTTGTGCTCTGTGTGTGTGGCTATCAATCATCAATAAATTTTGAGCCACTAGACTTGGAGTTTTCATTGTGCCTGGATTTTCTTTTGGAATCTTCATGAAACAAAAAGTACCTACAAAATTCCTTATTGGCGCAGTCGGAAGTATTTTAAAGATTTCAGCGAAGCTCCAGGTAAGAAAGGGTGGTCCACACTCACAAATTAAAGTTATTATGTATGTATTGTAATGTAAAGAGTGCATTATCAATAGCTGTAGTTGTTTGGAATAGATGATATGTTATGATAGTAAAAGTAAAATACACTCTGTCGCAAAAAAAAATATATGCACCCAGAAGAAATTGAGCTACATTCACGAAATTTGGTATGCATGTAGTGTATATGAAAATAAACAAATGATTAAAAATTCCGAACAAAATATCATTTTATTAAGCCGTTACAGCTTGCAAAAGGTTAAAAATCAGTAAGTAGTAAAGCCACCTCTGGCAGCTATACATGCCGAAATTCGGCGTGGCATCGATTCAATTAGATCACTTATGACCCCCTGTGGAAGATCCTGCCATAGTCTTTGCATCTGCGCAGTTAATTCTCCTGTATCTCGGGACGGCTGCAGTTGCCTTCCCAGCGCGTCCAGACATGCTCTATTGGCGAAAGATCTGGTGTCCTGGCAGGCCATGGTAGGACGTCATATCCTTGAAGACATTGTTGGGAGAGTCGCGCAGTATGTGGACGAGCATTATCATGTTGATAAATGGCACCTGGGCGACTTGATAGCATGGGTAGCACAATCGGCGTTAAAATATCGTCCACGTATCTTCGAGCTGTCAAAGTGCCTTGAAGGACCACTAAAGATAATCGTGTGTCCCAAGAAATTGCTCCCTACACTGTCACACCTTGTGAAATTGCTGTATGCCGCTCGACAATAAATGCCGGATCGGACCGCTGGCCGGTGCGCCTCCAGACACGTGTGCGGTGGTCATCAGCACTGAGACTGAATCGGGATTCATCACTGAAGATGACACGTCTCCAGTCTGTCACACTCCAAGTTGCCCGAGGTCGGCAAAAATCCAGTCGACACTGCCTATGATGTGGGGTCAGTGGTAAGCGTCTTAGCGGACGTCGGCTCCTCAAGCCAACTTCGGTCAGTCGTCTCCTTATGGTTTCTCTTGATGGCACTGGATGTCTGGAAGGAGGTAAGTGGCGTTGAATCGATGCTAGCGACGTTGTTGGTGCCGAAGTGGCCACTCTTCTGATTGCACGATCCTCGCGATCATTTGTGTTCCTGGGACGTCCTGACCCTCCGCGACGGTACACTCTACCTTCTG